TGGACACTCACTTTGTTTCCAGTTTTTTGCTACCATAAAAAGTATTGTTATGAATAGTTTGATATACAGAAAACCTTTCTGTCTTCAACCTCCTTGGGCTATGAATAGTTTTGTAAATTTTCTTATATAGTTCCAAATTATTTTTCAGAAAAATTGGACTAATTCATAAGTCAGTCAATAGTGTATTAATGTACCTGTCTTCCCATAACCCCTCTAACGTTGACATTTCTATATATTATCTTATTTGCCAATATGATGTTTCTGGGGCGAAACCTCAGAGTTATTTTAATTTGCATTTCTATTACTATTAAATTGGAACTTTTCTATACTTTTTATTGATTTTTTTTGAAAATATATCCTTTGACATCTATTGGGAATGGTTCTCAGTCATACATTTTTGTCAATTACCTATATATTTTGGAAAATAGACTTTTATCAGAGATGTCTGATAAAAAAAAATCCCTACTTGACAGATTCTCTTCTTAGCCTACTTTCACTGACTTTCTACTAAAGCCTTTAAATTTGTATAGTTAAAATTCTTACATTTTTTTCTCCATTGCTTGGTTATGAATTTCTCCTCTATAATTGTGAAAGATACTTTTTATTTCCCTCTTTTAAAAATGATTTGGCTTTTTAGATTTTAGATTGTTTATTTATTTGGAAATTATTATTATTTATGGTGTGAGATGCTGGTATAAACATATTTTATGACAAACTGCTTTCCAGTTTTCTCAGCAACTGTTGTCAAATAGAGATTCTTCCTCTTGGTGATTTTTCTTTTTGTGTTTATCAAACAATGAACTACAACTACTGGGCCACTGGCTTGATTGCTTCTCCATTTTGCTTATCTTGTCTAGTCTATTAATATACTTTTCCATATCTTAACCACTAACAGATAATTTTATAGTGATGAAACAATGGAAGCATTCCCGATAATTACAATGGTAAAGCAAGGCTGGCATCCATCTTCTTGGAGGACTTTCATAGGATTATAGAGAATTAGAACTTAAAGAGTAAAAATGCTTCTTTTTATAAATGAGGAAACCAAGACCTATAAAAGTTAAGTAACTTTAATTCAATTCAGCTCATCAAATCACTGCCTTTATAAAGTTTACATTCTATGAGGGGAGGAGAAGGAATGGAAAAACAATTATATAGCTAAGTAAATACAAAATGTGCAAAATAAATGAAAAGTAATTTAATTCATGAGAACAAAAATTTCAGGTGAACCAAATGGCAACAGAAATACACATGATAGGTTTGAGTACGAGTTGTAGTAGATTGCCATCCATAATTTACATGTTAGAAGTTGTATAAAAACAGTCATTAATTTGGTTTGTCTGATCACATGAGAATGAAAAATAAGAGATGAACAATCAAAGTTTTGCATTAGAAGCTCAAAATATTTGAAAGACCAGAGAATGATCTCCAGAGTACTAGAAGTAATTGAGAAAGAACAGAGTTTTAGAAAAGAAATGGACAGTCTAAGAAAGCATACATGCACAATGATCTGCACCAGTGGAGGAAGGACCCAGCCTGAGGAGATAATAGATTCATTTAAGTATTGTTGCATTAGCTTTTTTTTTTTGGGGGGGGGAGGGACGGAGAGGGAGAGTGCAGTTGCATTATACTGTTGGTTCATATTGAGTTTACAATCCACTAAAACATCAATGCCCATTTATTATGAATGGAAGACTTGGGGCCCAAAGAAGAAAACTTAAAATAGTTCATCTCCGTTGCTGCTATATCTAAGTACTCTCTACTTCCATGAGTGCAGCTAGTATTCTTAATAAATGCCATTTGGCTCAATATAAACAGGTCCTATAGGCTATATTGCCTTTAATCACAATTGTGCTCTGGTTCAACATTTCCTAAGTGGCCACTGGAATTACTATCTCAAAAAAAAGAAACAGAACTGACTATGGTATGCAGAACTCACTGAAAATAACTTATAGCTATGAGTGCTAGAGTATTAGTTCAAATAGAGGAAACCTAGCAATAAAACATAGTAAAAATGAGGAAGGGCAATAGAAACTACTTAAAAGAAAATGTTGCAAATAGTTGTGGTAGGTGGACTTGAAATGAGCAAAGGAGAAGGTACATAATTGGAGAAAGGAGAAAGTTTTACTTAAGCTTTGCTTATAAGGATTAAAGAAGCATAAAACTAGAGTTCCCAGTGACCTCAGAGGGCACTGAATGCCCTCCCCTCCAACTTCATTTTACAGATATGGAAAATCTATTTATATATCGCAAGGCCAAAATAGGATAAGTGCATCAGGATTGGGAGGACATACCAAATAACTTTGAGTGTCTAATGTAGAAGTGAACAAATCAATCTCACCTACTCCTAAGGCCCTTAGTTCTAGCCTATCCATTAGAGCACAACAATTTACACTCACTTGTAATTTATTCAGTGGGTTGGATGGACTCTCTTGAAAGCCTGTGGGCATGGGTCCTAAAACATTTGAATGAGTTGAGGGCATAGGCACTGGTATGGATTCTGGCCCCCTAACTAGAAAAGCACTCAAGATGACCTAGCCGCTTAAATGATTCTGTTTCCTTAACCTCCTACCTGCCCTTTGAAAGAAAAGAGGCTCATTTGCAGCTATTGTCACAGAAAACCTCACTTTGTTCAGAGGTTGCAAGGAGAGACCTTTCTGAGTTGAAAGTCATTGTACAGCAGAACTGGGGGATAAAGGAGAGAAGAGTTAAACACACACACACACACACACACACACACACACACACACACACCCCATCCATTATACCTGACTCTACTGCTTGATAGAGTCATCCCAACTAGAGAGATTCTGTGAGCTGTTGTGGACCATCTAATCCCACAGTCCTAATTTATAAAGTGTAACAACTAGCACAAAGAACTAGTGTTTCACAGCTTCCATGTTAAGGACTGAGTTTACTAACAAATTGTGGATTCCCAGCCTTTTACGAGACACTATAATTTCCAAGCAGTTTAAAACCACTTCTAGGCCGCCGGCTCGCCTCGCATTTACTGCTGAGTCTAAAAGCCTATCTTGATTCCCCTGTGTTTATTGCAGATTCTGTTCCATTTGAAGAATCAATAGTAAATGTGTTTGAGGACAGACAGACAGCATTTCCCACTTGGAGCTCATTGCCCCGGAGGAGGTTGTCATTTGACAGTAATTTTCAGGCACAGAAAATTATAGAGGAAAATCAAAATAATAGATTAAGCAATTTTCAAGTTACAGGAGATTATGATACATCAACTTCTAAACGGGTAAGCTATCACTTGGGTGGATATATATGTGGGTCTTGAAGGAAAAGTTTTCAAATGGAAAAGGGTTCCTTTTGTTTTTCTTTTAAATCTATCCATTTAGAAACTTTTAAAGATAGCTAGAAGCAAGAGATGGTGTAAAGGAAGCCCATCTTGATCCTTAATTTGAAAGCTGCTGTGAAAAAAAGAAGAGGACAAATGATTTAACCTATATAACTTTAAGTTTGTGCCTCTGTAATGGTCTACTCACAAGGCTACCACCTTAGATCAAGACCTTATCACCTCTTACCTGGAGGTTTTTTGTTTTTTCTAATAAATTGCTTCTCTGCTTCCAGTTTCCTCTCTTTCTTCATAATCTAGCTCTAGTCTACCTTTCCATTTTTGTTGTTGTTCAGTCATTTCAGTCATGTCTGACTTTTGGTGACCCTACTTGGGGTTTTCTTGTCAAAGATACTGGAATTATTTGCCATTTCCTTCTCCTGGCTCATTTTATAGATAAGAAAACTGAGGCAAACAGCATGAAATGACTTGCTAAGTCACACAGCTAGTCAGTGTCAGTTCAGATTTGAACTGAGATCTTCTTGACTCCAGATTTGGTGCTCTATCCACTGCATCACCTAGCCACCCTTCCATATTATGCCATATATCACTCTAGTTTGTACATTTTATGCTCCAGAAAAGCTAGTCTACTTGCTCTTCCCTGTGTATAACATTCCATTGGCTGACCCTAGACTCTTTCATTGAATGTTACCCCATGCCTGGAATGGTTTTGTTTTCACCCATTAGAATTCCCAACTTTTTTCAATATTCAGCCTTTCCCAATTCCCTCAGGTTTTTGGTTCTCTCTTTTCCTGATATAACATGGTGTTTACTTTGTATTTTCTTTTGAGCAAGATTACTTTAATAACACCTATTGCCATGGTTAAAGGGAGATTTTGATGTAGAAACATGGTGGATAAAACCATGAGTCCAGGAAGACCTAAGTTTAAGCCCTGCTTCTGGCATATACCAACTGAGTGACCCTGGGCAAGTCACTTAAACTTTAACTGCTCTTGGAAGTTCTCTAAGAAGAAGTTACTGGACTGCACTGATAGAGAGAGTTTCCTCATCTTGGGGCCCCTATGACAATGAAATACAAGTTCAGCTCCTGTCACTACATAGGATGTCAAATGGAAAAGGGTTTCTTTTGTTTTTCTTTTAAATCTATCTATTTAGAAACTTTTAAAGATAGCTAGAAGCAAGAGATGATGTAAAGGAAGCCCATCTTGATCCTTAATTCAAAAGCTGCTTGAAAAAAGAAGAGGGCAAATGATTTAACCTATATAACTTTAAGTTTGTGTCTCTATAATGGCCTACTCACAAGGCTACCACCTTAAGATGTCCCAAAAGACTTACAGGAGTTTTAAACTACAAAATCTTAAAAAGTTATTATGTTATTAAAGCTCAAAACTGCCCTAAGACTTCTGGAACACCTTATATTTTCTTGGCTAGAAGCTATACCCTTTTATCACATAGTGGAGTAAAGGTGGAAAAAAATCAAGAGTGGTGATGTCAAGAGGAATAAATAGAGGAGTAAAGGAACTTCATGAACAATGGTTTTTATTTTCTCAGTAACTTGACTGAAATGATATGACATTTAATAAGTGGGTGAGGGGAAAACATGGTATATACAGGAAGCTTGAAGAGGAGAGATAAGGTTCAGAAAGTCACTGTGAGGAATGCCATAGAGAACAATGAGGGAGGAATAAAAGGATTCCCTTGACACTTTTTTGGAGACAAGATCGAATTCGTAGTGAATCCATTCTGTACTTTCAGGTGAGTCCTTTGCACATGGATCATCAGCTCACAATTGGAGTGGAGGAGACTGATGGTGGATGGACATAATACAGGATTTAGTTTTGACAAGGCATGAATGGTGTTGGATAAATGGGCAAAGGATTCTAGAGTAGGAGAATAACCAGTGCTGGACTGGTCAACCAAACGATCAAGATTGGGAAAGGAGGGAAGAAAAACTAGGGCAGAAATGATGGCCTGGAGATTACTGAGAGACTGGAGTCATGCTAAGGAACAAAGGTTAATTTTAGAAGTAGTGAAGCATAACAACTGCCTCAGGAGATACATTGAAATATTTTCAGTATTGTGGCAGTTTCCAGCAAAAATTTCTATTTGAATAATGAATAAATTTAATATAAGACAAATATTTATTAACAGACCTGAAGAAGAAAGTATTAGTAGTACCCCTTTGTTATGTTAATTTTATAACCAGCCTTCCCTTTCATCCATTTACAAACAATATAATTACTTTTCATACATTTTTCAAAGCTGTAAATGCATATTACTTATAAAGCAAACTCTAATGGGCAAATGAGATTTTTTTAATCAATTAGTTCCTACCAACTTCAGAAAATAATCGAAGATTAATAGACCCTTTAAGATCCTTTCACCTCTGATGAGCATACGCTAAGGGAAAACAGGATCACGAAACCCCTGCACAAAGGTTCAGGTACAGCGGATTCATTGTGAAGGTGCAGATGGGATATGACCTGTTAGTTTCCTTTTTCAGAGGGAAGGATTCTCAGCAGAGCATAAGTATTCACACATAGAGCTTTTAAAGCCCCAGGATTACCATTCAACTTCCCTGTATGAAAAATTCTATTTGATTCATTCATCCTTTCACTTCCTTCTCATTCTATCATTTTGTGTTCACAGTATTATAATAATGTTGGTATAAGACCAGTATCTGTGTTGTGTCTAACATAATCAAACACATAGCAACCAGGGTTATGCAGCACTTTAAAGTCTGCAAAGTGTGTGTGTGTGTGTGTATATATATATATATGTATATATATGTATATATATGTATATATATGTATATATGTATATATGTATGTATATATGTGCATATATATGTATATATACATATATATATATATATATATATATATTATATATATATATATATATATATATATATATAATGGATGAGTAAATTGAGCCTGAGAGTTGTCAATGACTTGCTCAGGGTCAAACAACTAGTAAGTGTCTGAATCAGGTTTTGAACTCAGGGCTTTCTAACTATAGGTCAAATACTCTATGCACTGTACCAACTAGCCACTTAGTACACCCTTTGTCTGAAATGACTACACCTCCTCTTTTCCTCCTCCTTGGTTCTGTTGCATTGTTTGTTCTGCTAGGCTAACACCACCATCCTTTTAAAGTACTTTCCCAACCCATTCCTCTCCTCTCCAGGCCTGTCCTTTGAAAAGTCTTAAATGAGCTGGACTCACTAAGACACACATATTAACCACCTCACCCATTCCCATAATTATAGGGAGACTTGTGATGTATTAACCTTAACTTATAAATGTTTTCTCCAGCTAGCCAAGATGGGCATTTGTAGGTTGGCAAAACTTCTAATCCCCACAATTAATGCGTTCTGGCAGTAAAGGAGTAATCTAAAACCTACTTCAACTTCCCTATCTTCCCAGCTTTGTTTCCATTAGCATTGCCAGGCTAAATGATCAGGGATACTGAACTGGAAGGACAGGTCAACCACACTATTGCCATCCTCTAGGTGACTGTAGTTGCCAGCTAACATCTACTCAAATTGACTGTGGGCTTTCTTGCCTCTGCCCTTCTCCCCATAGTTCCTCAGTCTCCATGGTGAAAAACTCTTAATTTCTTCCAGGTTGTCATTTAGTTTTTGTTATCCACCTAGGAAGTGGTTTTTCATGATATGGTCTGTGAATTCCTCACTTAAGCTTTTTAAAAATATGTTTCCATTAATATGGCTTTCTGACAGAATAACATAGCTCTTACCTTGTGAGATTTGTTGATATCCTTGTTCAAAGATTGTCCTTTCTATTAGATTCATAGCATGGCAGTGGTTATGTCCCACTTAACTAACTTGAGGTTATATAAATATGTCTGGAAATTTTATCCTAAATTGCTTAATGCTACAATGCAGGGAATAACCTTCCTCCTTCAGAATAAAGCTTCAGTCTAGGCAACCCTTTCCAATAACAAAGGCTGTCAGCAACCCATTACTAAGGTATGTGGCTGAGTCTCAAATCATAATGTACTAGGAAGGCTAGGGATGCTTTCTTTTTTGTTTTGTTCATTCTTTATTCAGTTGCTAGAAGAGGGAGATACAACAACACGCTCATACACAAAGAAGTTTGACACAGCCAGAGGTATCAATAAGGCAGGTCTTTTTAGTATTCGTCACACTCTCCTCATATATTACAAAGCAAGCAACTACTTTTTGTACTTTCTGCAGCTGTGTGCTTAGCCACAGTGTCATCAAATTTTGTTCTAGTATCTGAGAGTGGGGGGAGGGGATATTGCTGGTATGACTGTCACAGTCTCCAAAACTTGTCCCATATACACGTTAAGAGAGAAGGAATGTGTTTAAAAATGTCAGTTCAGGCATGCAACTCCTGAACTTGCAGAGTTTAGCTCATTGTTAGCTCGTTTCCTTTTGGTGTTCCATGATGTTACTCTAAATTTGGTCACATATATGGTAATGAGATAGCATTAAGGAGAGTTGTCTAAAGGAGATATATACTCCACAAGTGAAATGGGAATTTATATCTATCTCTATCTATGTCTCAGTCTATGTCTATGTTTATGTCTACATTTACTTCTATTATATAGGTTCAGTCATTGACATTTTTTTGATATTTAGATTATAATGATAACAGAGTGGCAGGATGACAACAGCTTCTCCTATTTCTATTCCTTAGCAAATAGCAAGTCAGTGACAGTGCAAACATCCCTCCACTCATAAAAACAAGATAACCATCAGCTTAGCATGGCCATTTGTTTTGTAGAAAATTTACCATTGAACTAATGGTGAAGAATTACAAATGTACTATTCCAAAAGGATCTTCTACAGAAGCTATGGAAATTTTTATTTAATGTCTTTAAGAGTCAAAGAAGTTTGGAGAATAAGAGTTTTAGCTATTATTCTATGATAATTCTGCCATGGAAGTTTTTGAGAGACTGAGAAGAGAATTAATGCTGTGGTTTTACAGAAATTGGAGAAGACAGAAAGAAAATAATTCTTGACAAGGTTTTGCATGGTATTGTGAGTGAACTGAATGGTGGGACTGTGTTTTCAGAAGTAATCAGCAGACTTTCCTCATGATGTTGGAATGAACTGAGGTATGATAGCTCATCTTTCTCAGAATTTTTCCAGCAAGGATAAAAAAAAAGAGCATGGGACTGAGTAATGATCAAGAAATTTAAGAAGAATCTATACTAAGAGATTTTTGTTTATTTGTTTTTGTTAACCTATATTCATACTATGGGATATGCAGAAGTCTGTAGGCACTAGGGAAGGGATCAATCAATGTCAATCAAAAAGCATTTATTAAGGAATTGTGTACCAGGTACTGTAGTAAGTGTTTGAGATTTCAGTACAAAGAATCGAACAATCCTATTTGCAAGGAACACATTTGGTGGGGAGGGTCTGTTAGTGTGAAGCCAGAGAGATAGTACATAGAGTGAGGTCTGTGAGGAACAAAAAGGAAGGCCAGTTTGGCAGGATTGTAGGGTACAGGCAGGAGAATAATGTCCAGTGAAGCTGGAAAAAGAGACTGGGCCCAAATTATAAAAGGTTTTTAACTTAAACAGGAGTTTATGTTTTATCTTAGAAGCACTAGGAAGTCACTGGAGTTGATTGAATAGGGAAATCACATGGGCAGACCCGCATGTTAAGAAAATTTATCTTGACAACAGGGTGGCCTGGAGTGGAAAAGGAATTTAAAAGGGAAAGATTAATTGGAGGCTGTTACAGTAATCTAGGCAAGAGATGACAAGACCTGAACTAAAGTGGTATCTATGTGAAAATAGAGAAGGGGTGGATGTGAGAGACCCTGTGGGGGTAGAAATTACAATGTTTGACAATTAACTGGATATATGGCATAAAAGACAGTAAAGAGTTGAGGATAGTATTTATGTTACAGAAATAGTGAAATTTGGAACAGGAAAGGACATAGGACAAAGTTTTTAAATTTTTTACATGCTGAGTTTAAGATGTCTCTTGGACATCCAGTTCAAAATGTCTGATAAGTAATTGGTGATAGAAAATTTGTCTCTTGGGTTTTTCATTTTTCTCAAGTTTCAAGTCTCTATCACCAGCTGAAAAGCTGGACTACCTCTACCTGTTGCTGAGAGACCCTTAATTAAGGACCTAGGTTATGCTGACCAGAAACCCAGTCAAATCCAAAGATTGAGGCAAGGCGTTTTCTCACAATTATTCATTTCAAGCAACTTATATGTCTTATCTGAAATCTGGCCCATACTTGTCAGTTACTGTTTCTTTGCTCTTTGGATGGAATAGAGACACTCCGGGAGGAATGGGACATCTTCAGAAAATTGTACTTGTTCTGTCTCCCCTTCCCAACTTAGAAAGCCCTTAATTTTGTCTCCAATTAGAAATAAGCTCACCTAATTTTGTATCCTGATTGTTTTCTTTCAATTAATTAGTATTATTTGATCAATTATTTTAATGCATAAAAATCTGTCTCCCGCTGTATTTGGGGTCCAGTGCCAAGCTGAGAAGGCCTTCCCCCAATGTGTTGCACAATTGGCATGCATTGCTAGAAGCTCAAACCTTTGTTTCCTGTCATTTCATTTTCATTCACCACAGTATGAAATGACTTGCTCATGATCATAATTCATTACCCTTCAGGGTTGGAGTCTGTATCTACTTCTCATGATTGCAGATCCAGAGCTCTTCCTAGGTAGTCTTTGATCATCCAAAGTTTTATCACAGTATAGATTAGTTTTACCTAGGCAGAAATGATATG